ACTCAGCTTTCTAAAACCTGACATACTGACTGGACGTGGCAAAACAAGTCAGAACATAGGTATTTATATATGGTATACTATATATAAGAATATATGTAATCTATTGAATCTTTTTTATGTTTGTATCAGGGTTCAACTAAAGAAACAAAACCAGTAGGAGATTTTATTTATATATATATATATACACACACACACACACACACACACACACACACACACACACACACAGATACGTGCATATACATACACACAGGGATTTATTACAAGGTACTGGCATACACAATTGTACTGGCAAAACATGTCTGAGGTCTGCAGGGTAGGTGGTCAGGAGCAGGCTGGAACCCCATAGCCATGAGCTGTTTGAAGTCCTGAGCTCAGGAAATACCTAAACCAGTGATGGCGAACCTTTTGAGCTCGGCGTGTCAGCATTTTGAAAAACCCTAACTTAACTCTGGTGCCGTGTCACATGTAGAAATTTAAATTTTTTTGATATTTGCAACCATAGTAAAACAAAGATTTATATTTTTGATATTTATTTTATATATTTAAATGCCATTTAACAAAGAAAAAGCAACCAAAAGAATGAGTTCGTGTGTCACCTCTGACACGCGTGTCATAGGTTCGCCATCACTGACCTAAGCCCTTTTCTAATACTAATACCTAATCAGTATTATTGATTAGGTTAGGCCCACCTAGGGTGAAGCCCCTGTTGATTCCCTTAATGTCAACTGATTAAGAACTTTAATTACAACTGCAAATCCCACTAGGGACTGTAGTTCAGCCTAGGCAAGTTGACATGAAAAGGCTATCACATGCTCACATGCCAGAAAGTTGCAGACATTGCCTCCTCCCATTCTTTTTTTTACATAGTGTTTGAGCATGTCACTCTTCTGCTCAACCAGTAGATTAACTGGAAGTAGAAATGCTCTGTTTCTGCTTTATTGTTCTTTAAACTATAGATGCTTTTGTGTGTATTATATACTTTGAGTTTAAAAATAGTCCAAGTAGACAAGCCTGAACTCTAGCGAGGGTGGTCAGAGGAGGTAAAGCTGCCTCTGTGGTTATCCAGGAGGAGCCAGGTGGCCAGCCCTCACCTGGCATTCTCACAGCCGTGCTCCCCACGCCTCAGTGACCAGCAATGCCAGCTCCTCTCTGTTCCTCCTCTTTAGTGTTATGATAAGCAGTTCCCACCCTGTCAGTCCTCAATCATCACCCTTGCACTTCCCCCTTATACAAATTTTAAATTCCGTGACTCTAAAGGGCAAATTCAGATTTTGAAAATTTGGCATACCAAATGAAGTCCAACACCACAGATTCTTTTTTTAAAATTCTTTATTGTTTAAAGTATTACATATGTCTCCCCCCCCGCCATTGACCTCTCCCCAGCCACTCCCAACCCCCCAGCACATGCCCTCACCCCCCTACTGTCTCTATCCATTGGTTATGCTCATATTCATGCGTACAAGTCCTTTGGTTGATCTCTCACCCTGCCCCACTCCCCTGCTTTCCCTTTTAGGTTGGATAATCTGTTAGATGGTTCTATGTCTCTGGCTCTATTTTTGTTCATCCGTTTATGTTCATTATATTCCACAAATGAGTGTGATCATGTGATATTTATCTTTCTCCAGCTGAACACCACAGATTCTTGTGGTCAAAGTTCTTTACCATCTGACTCCAACATGAGTCCTATATGATTTTCCACCTTTGTTATTTCCCCACAAATAAACACTCAGAAAATATTTTCTTATTTGTTTCCTCAGTTATTCATCCATCCAGCCACATTTATTTAGAACTTAGCCGGTCATTGTGCTTCTGCCAGACAGCCTTCCACATTCCCACAGCATCCATTCTGCTTCCACTTCATTGCTCGTCACGTGGAACTATAGCTTCCTATTATACCCCTCCTCAAACTATGAGCTCCTTGTAGGTAAAAGTGGACCTTTAACCATTGTATTCTTATCTGACAAACCATAATGCCGAATAAATGTTTGATGAACAAATGAATGAAATTAATGAAGTATGGTGTCTGTCTTGAAGTTGTTTTGTCCTTCACAAAGTATATCTCAAGATTTTGACAGCCGATATACTAGGAAAGAAATGGAACTTTTATAAATTCTATTAACTCTAAAGTGGGGGTCACTGAAGTTCTTTCTCCTTTCATTATATCAGTGGCTGAGAACTGCTCACTCTTAGGATCCTAGACTTAAAAATTCAAGGCCAGGTTCTGCTGCAAGCTAGCCTGTCAGTTATCATAGTCCCAAAAGCCTCAAGGTCCTCATCTGTGAAGGGGAATGGTGACACTTGCCACGCCAACCTAAGAGAGCTTTGTGAGGTTCCCGTGAGTAAGTAGATGAAAATGTTTTGTCAGCTGTAAACTCCTATACACTTGCAAAGGTATTACGATTAGTTAATATATTCTTTTAATCAGTATTTGTTTTGAGACAACACAACTAAAGCCACACAGCTGGTAAATGCCACCGCTGGAATTTGAACTCAGGCAGTGTTGTGGCAGAGTCCAAGTTGCACCACCCTACATGTGCTCTCTCTAGCGATGATAGGATATGCCCTACAGCCTGGGGTTGTTGAGAGATCATGAATACAAAGCACTTACCACAGTCCCTGGCATGCAGTAAGCATTCCATAGTTAATAGCTGCTTTTCTTCAAGGGTAAAATTCCCTCTTTGGTGAGTTGTAATGCCCTCTGACTCTGGCACAGGAATGACCCTCCCAGCACAGAAGTGTGTACTGGATGCATTCCGAGCCAGTGGCGATAAGAAGATTCTGATCGCCACCTCAGTTGCTGATGAAGGCATCGACATTGCACAGTGCAATCTGGTCATCCTATACGAGTACGTGGGCAATGTCATCAAAATGATCCAAACCAGAGGTGAGAGAAGCTTTGGTGCTGTTTTAAGTGTCAGCCAATTTGTCTGACTCGTGAGTGTACCTGTCGTTCGGCCTTTCTCCTTTACTGAGTCCTGCTTGTGTGTGTGGCCAGTGGCACAGTGGACTCTGGTATCACTGCCCGAAAGGTGACTTATTGGGCCAGGTTTGGGTGGCTACGGTTTTGTCCGCTATTTTAATTCTTGTTCACAATGAAAACTGTGTACTTGGCCAACACTGATTGACATGTTTTTAGGATAATTCCCGTTGGTTTGGGGCTTTGGCAGTCGGCATGCACACCTCTCCTGGCTGTGCGTGTGGTGCCGCTGGGCCCGCTGGGTCCAAGGAGCTCTCTGTCCCACTTGCACCAGAGTCTCCTAACTAGTCTCTCTTCCTTTTTCAATTTCTGTAACAGCAGCTGCCACATTACCTTTCCTGGAAAAAGCTCTGAACGTGTCACTTCCCTGTATAGAAACTGCAGTGGGTTCCCCAATTTTCTTGATGTTACAGAGTTGTGTTTTTTTAAATATATATATTTTTTATTTCAGAGGAGGGAGAGAGAGGATAGAAACATCAATGATGAGAGAGAATCAATGATCGGCTTCCTCCTGCACACTCACACTGGGGATGGAGCCCCCTGACTTGAAATCAAACTGTGACCTCCTGGTTCATAGGTCGACGCTCAACCACTTAGCCACACCAGCCAAGCTTGATGGTACAGAATTTTCAAATCGAGCACCCATTTATCTTTCCAATTCCTCCCCTTTATTCATGATTCACTTCTGCCAACCTGACTTCATCATTTTCTCCTTGTTGAAGGAATTGCTCATGTACTGCTACTGATGATCGTTTTACCTCTTCCCCCACCTCCCTATCACCTGTCCCAAGTTCCCCCAGCTGTCAGTCATCTCTCTTTTGAACATCCGTAACTCTTTATGTCTTTCAGCACTTCTCATTTTCCACCTATGTTCCTGTGGTTGTGAACATAGCTTGTTTCCCCATTTCCTAGAAGGCTCCTGAGGGAGGATCTGTTATTATTCACCTGAGAGCCCTCACAGTGTCATCCTGAGGGTTCATGTTGGACTCTCTGTCAAGCAGTGTTTCCGATAGTGTGGCTGTCTGATCACACTGCAGCATGGAGACTGTGAGGAAGCCAGTGTGCGGCGGGCTCCCAGTTCATCTGCGGGCCTAGCGGGCTGGTGCACACCCTCCTATCGGTCTGTGCTCTGACAGCTCGGCTCAGCTTCCCTGGAAAGCGGGATTCAGTGAACCAGAGTTGCGTTTTAGGAATTCCCCTTCCCCCTAGCTTACCTATGCTCAGATTTATCAGAGCTTTAAATCAAAGGCACCGAATGAAATATTTATTTTCTGACAGGCAGAGGAAGAGCAAGAGGTAGCAAATGCTTCCTTCTGACTAGTAATGATGATGTAATTGAAAAAGAAAAAATAAACATATACAAAGAAAAAATGATGAATGACTCCATTCTGAGCCTCCAGGCATGGGATGAAACAGTATTTAAAAAAAAGGTAAGTCTTTTCATCTGTGCTACTCTTTCAGAATCTGGCCATAAGTAACAGATAGAGAAGGTGAGCAAGGTTGGTACCTTTTATCAGATGGCTGAGTGGTGCATTAGAACAATAAATTTAATCTTAAAAATTTGTTCTGCAGTGAACATCTAGTTTATTCTGCTTTTAAGTCTCAATGAGATTAAAATATGTTTTATTAATGCTGATGCCCGAAGTTGTGCTCTTAAGTCTAAAAGGCAAACTGAGATAGAATCGCTCTTCCTTTGAGTTTATCTTGAGGACAATAACCTAACACTGCAAGACATAGTCTTTCTTGGTCTTTTCCTCAGATCTCTTTCCAACATCTGGAGTCCCCAGAGAAAAGCTCCCATTGCCCTGTGCAGGTGTTGGGTGCCTAATTGTAGAGGTGGATAATAATGTATACTTTGGAGTGGATCACCTGTTCAGTTCAGCCTCTTGGTAGTAACCTTCATTTTATTGTAATTTCCTTTATAACTCAGAAGCATGGAACCAGATGAGGGAAAATAGACGCACATGCACATGCACACTCAGACTTTCTCCAGACTCTGCAGAGATTTTCATCTCAGAACCTCTGGAAGCATCGAGCACTGCAGGGCGGGGCGAGAGCTTTCACATTAGAATCAGTGGAAGCTCCAGTTCTGCCACTTACAAGATGTATAACCTCAGGTCATTACTCTGTTTTTAAAATCATCAGTTTCCTCATTTGTAAAGTTGGGGAAATTTGTAAAGTATTAAACTCACAGTAGTTTTGGGGCTAAAATGAGATGTATGCATTGCTTAGCACAGTGCCTAGTATAAAATAAGTGCTAAAAAATAAGTCATTGGACACAAGTGTAAGGCATACTGTAACTTCAGAAAGATGAACCTTCCACTTCAGTAGACCAACTGCATGATGGCCACAATTTTTAAAAAGTCATAATCTCTATGCTCAAAAAGTACTGAGAATCAGTGATGTAAAGCAAATTAACACTTATTTTAGGACAAAAATACAATTTTATGTTAGTGTTTACTCATTTTTAATAAACATTTCTTCCTAAAGTTTGGAAACCAAGATATTTTAAAAACCCCTCTTCCATATTTTCAGGAAGAATTGCAGGGAAATTCCTTAGTTTCTCTTAATTTTTTTCCCATAATTTTACTGAGAGATAGGGGTTTTTAACTGAGCCACCTATGTAGGACATAAGGATGTTGCCAATAAAGGCCTTAAAACCATATTAGCTTTAATATGAAATAATTTTTATCCCCTCCACAGGTGGCAAGCTATTTATTAGATTCATATGTGGCAGAAACAGTAGAGTAAAAGTCTAATAAGGAAGATGAAGACTGGACCAGGCATGAACATTCTTTTGTAGCCAGAACATCAGGTCAAGCAGTGGAGTAAGGAGAAAATGGGCAACATATCTGTCGAATTGGGCTATTGCATAGCATTTGGGATCCGCCTAACACCCATAGAATGCAAATGGGCAGAGATGGTAAAGAATGAGAGGGAATTCGGAACAAATGTAGCTGATAGTCATTATGTGGCAGCTAGGAGCATGGAGTCTTGGCATCACCCCTATCCTATCGTAGAGGAAGGCTTTGCTTTCGGAGGCTTAGTGGAAGTATAACAAGGTAGGAACAACCTTATATTCTTAAAACTAAAAGGAATTATGTTTCTTGGGGTGAGGCCCCTTTCTGTGTTGTTTTTTATTTTATTTTATTGTTGACAGTATTACAGAGTTTGTGTTGTTTTGATAAGGGTTTAGGATCTGAGCACCCTTGGCTTTAGTGGGAGGAAGAAACCCTGCAGAAGAGAGGGAAGAAACTCTTTAGGGCGGCACCAAGTAGATGGAGATGGAGACTGTAAGCTTTGTCCCACAGTTACCTTGTCCATTGTCTGCATGCGGCCGACCTTCCTTAGAGCACTGTGGTCCCCAGGGAATCTCTGGTGACTCTGCAGCCATTTTAACATGTAGACGGTCCAGAGGTATCCAAGGACTGATTTCCTTGAGGGAAGCTTCAGGATTTGGGAGTGTTTAATTCTGGAGAAATAAGGTATAAAGGGCATTTTTCACAGTTGCTAGTTTGAAATTAAAATGAGGAAGCCCACTTTTCTTCCTCATGGAGTAGAGAATAAAATGCCAAAAAGAACTTCCAACATGATGTGTACCCATGAGAGCACACAATCAGGGTTTTATGGTTTTGCTTTTTTCCACCTTAGTGCACGGAATTAAGCTGCTTCTACAACGGGTGGAAGGGAGAGGCAGTGAGCTATAAGCTTAACTTGTGATATTGGTTGAGCCTCTTTACCTGTTGAGTTTAATTATAGCAGTAATAGTTTTAACTTACTGGGATTTATTGCCCATAGTAACATTTAAAATATTTGGGATTATTAGTATTTAACTGAATTTTAGTATATAACTGAATATAATTAGATATAAGTGCATTTTTAAAAATTGGATGCTTGATTTTATAGCTGACATTGTGGAAATCACCATGTTCTTTCTTTATGATGTTCTAAGACTCCTTCTTTTATCATTTCCTTCTGTTTAGAGAACTTCCTTTTGCCATTTTTTTTAGGGAAATTCCACTGGTAAACAAATTTTCTTAGTTTCTGTTCATCTCAGATCGTCTTGATTTCCCCTTTATTTTTATTTAATTTTTAATTCTTATTTATTTCAGGAGAAGGAGAGAGAGATAGAACCATCAGTGATGATTGAGAATCATTGATCGGCTGCCTCCTGCCCGCGCCCTCCCCCCTGCCACCACTGGAGATTGAACCCGCAACCTGAGCATGTGCCCTTGACCAGAATCGAACCTGGGACCCTTCAGTCAGCAGGTTGATGCTCAATCCACTGAGCCAAACCGGCTAGAGCTCCCCTTTATTTTTGAAGAACATATTGGCCTTTATGGTCTCTGATGAGGAATCTGCTGTCATTCAGATTGTTTTTCTTCTATAAGTAAGGTGTCACTTTTTTCAGGCTACTTTTAAGATTTTTTTTTTCTATGTCTTTAGCCTTCAGAACTTGAATTATAATGTGCTTTGGTGTGGATTTCTTTGGATTTATCATGTTTGGTTTTTGTTCAGCTTTTTGAATCTGTAAGTTTATATTATGTTATGTTCAATTTGGGGAGTATTCAGCCATTATTACTTCCAGTACTTTTTAGCTCTGCTCTCTTTCTCCTCTCCTAAAGGTCCCTGGGGCTCTGTTCTTTTTTTTTTTTCGTGCTCTATATTATTTCTGTTGTTCCAATTGAGTAATTTCTATCATTTTATGTTCCAGTTCACTGATTCTTTCCTTTGTCTCCTCTATTTTGCTGTTGAGCCCATTCACTGAGCTTTTTATTTTGGTTATTACATCTTTCAATTCTAATACATCCATTTGGATTTTTATGACTTCCATTTCTTCATTGAGCCTTTATAGTTGCTCATGTTTCAAGAGTGTTTCTGAGTACTCATTGAAGCATTTTTATCGTGGCTGCTTTAAAATCTCTCTCTGATAACTTCTGTCTTCTCAGTGGTGGTATCCATTGATTAACTTTTTTTTCATTCAATTTGAGATTTTTCTGTTTTTTGGTATGAAGAGTGATTTTTTTATTGAAACCCAGACATTTTCATATTATATTAAGAGATTTGGGATCTTATTTAACCTTCTGTGTTAGCTGGCTTTTTCTGGCACCTTTCTGGCAGAGTAGACAGGGACATTATCTGATTACTGCTAGGTGGAAATAGAAGTCCAGGTTCCCTATAAGTTTTCTCTCTTGGGCCTCAACCAGCACGTCTAGAGAGCGGACGAGTCCTGAGTAGGGGCGGCTGGGGATTGAAAAAGGAAAAAAAGAAACAGACACAAAGACTTTAAGTAAAGCTGGGGCCAGGTGGGACGCTGCCCTCAGATGGAGAGACAGTGACCCAGAGCTAGTGCAACGCGTTTATTATATACAGCATGATACCAGGAAGTTTTACTAGAGTTTAAGACAAAGAAAATTATGTGAAGTCATGGTTAAAGATCAAGCTGCAATTCTTCATTCTTTTGGCTTCTTTGTAATTGTCATTCCTGGCTGAGCCCGGATAATTGCATCCCTTCCTGGCCCTGGCTAAACTTAGATAATGAAACCCACCCCCTGGCACCTGAGCTAAAGGTCAGGCTGACAACATACCTGCCTCTGGCAAGGTATATTTCCAGGAAATGGCTCTGCTGACACCACTGGACTCAGCCAACAATCAGCTCATGCGCCTTCCCAGGCGCTCTCTACAGTTCCCTACTCAGCTTCTGTTTGTACCAATTAGGGGGAGGCTTCTTGTTACTGCTGGTTGGAGGTGGGAGTTCTTGCTCCCCACATGGTCTCCAGTGACACCATAGGCAAGGGGAGGGGCGGCTACCATTAAACAGGGATGAAAGTCCTAGCTCCCTGCTTGGCCTTCTCTGACACCACCAGGTGAGTGGGCTGGGGTATTTCATTACAGCCCCACAAAGTGGAAATCTAGGTTCCCCACTCAGCCTTTGCTGCCATGGGTGGAAATTGGGTCACAGGTTTTTTTTATTTGTTTTGTTTTATTCTTTGGTATTTTGCTGGAGTAGAATATTTCTTGGCTAAAAGTTTTCTGTCTTTCTAGGCTGCCCTTTCCTGGCCTTTTGGCTTGAGAGAATAAGCTTTTGTTGAGACTTTTAAAAAACATATATTTTTATTGATTTCAGAGAGAAGGGAGAAGGAGAGAGACAGAAACATCAATGATGAGAGAAACTCTTGATCGGCTGCCTCCTGCACACCGCCACTGGGGATCGAGCCCGCAACCCGGGCATGTGCCCTGACCGGGAATCGAACCGTGACTTCCTGGTTCATAGGTTGATGTTCAACCACTGAGCCACGCTGGTCTGGCTGTTGAAACTTTTTTTACCTGTGCCCATAGGTATTTCTGGTTGCCAGTTTCTTCAGCTCCAGTCTAGGATATATGAGGTGAAAAACAACAACAAACAAGCAGGGAACTTACTATCATAGGGTCCCAAGGTTCCTAGCTAGTCTGCCTTCCTCTCTTCACCCTTTAGATTTTAAATCTAAATCTCCTTATGTTTATTTATTTATTTTTAAAATATTTTTATTGACTTCAGAAAGGAAGGGAGAGGGAGAGATAGAAACATCAGTGATGAGAGAGAATCACTGATAGGCTGCCTTCTGCATGCCCCACATTGGGGATCGAGCCTGCAACTTGGGAATGTGCCCTGACCAGGAATTGAACCATGACCTCCTGGTTCTAGGTTGAAGCTTAACCACTGAGCCGTGCCAGCTGAACTCCTTATGTTTATTTTAAATAAACATGGCCCTAGCCAATTTGGCTCAGTGGATAGAGCGTTAACCTGCGGACTGAAGGATCCCAGGTTCAATTCCAACCATGGGCACATACCCAGGTTGCAGGCTTGATCCCCAGTAAGGGTCATGCAGGAGGCAGCTGATCAGTGATTATCTGTCATCATTGATGTTTCTCTCTCTCTCTCCCTCTCCCTTCCTCTCTGAAACCAATAAAAATATATTTTAAAAAATTTTAAAAAATAGCCAGAACCGGTTTGGCTCAGTGGATAGAGCGTCGGCCTGCGGACTCAAGGGTCCCGGGTTCGATTCCGGTCAAGGGCATGTACCTTGGTTGCGGGCACATCCCCAGTGGGGGGCGTGCAGGAGGCAGCTGATCAGTGTTTCTCTCTCATTGATGTTTCTGGCTCTCTATCCCTCTCCCTTCCTCTCTGTAAAAAATCAATAAAATATATTTTAAAAAAATAATAAACATAAGTTGTACTTAGCCAAGGCCTAAATTTTGAAATATAATGCAGTCATACCATACATACATTTAACTTTACTGTAATTTGACAGTGCTCTCTGTGGTTGGAAGAGGAAAGAGGAGAAAACCAATTTGGATGGTGAGGGCTCTTCTGCCTGCTGTTTCATTCAGTTGGGTTTATGCCTTGGAAGTGGGTGTAAATATGTCTGAAACAGTCCATGTGTATCATATATCTATTTGTGAAGGACATTTTAAGTTTTGCCGGCTACTAAAGTAGAAAGCATGGTTCATATGACTATTTTATGCACATCTTTAGTGCTCTATGGGCAACTTTGATGAGGAAATTAAAAGACTAATTGGAGGCCACAGTTAAACATTGACTAACAAAGAGTTAGGAGAACCAATAAAATTACCTATGGGATTTTTACAAAGTCACCAGGTACGACATGTTCATGGAAGTGTATGCAAAATGAATGATATATATATACTTTAATTACATTTATGAGGTATTTCTTTTTTCTCATGTAGATTCACCAGATCCAGATTCATGAAAAATTCATCAGGGATAGTCAAGGAAAAGCAGAACCTGCACTTGATAAGAAAAATAAAAAACTGCTCTGCAGAAAGTGCAAAGCCTTTGCTTGTCATACAGCAGATATAAGAGTGATAGAGGTGAGCAGCCTTTTCCAAAGAATACTGGGTCATTTTTTAGCACTAATTAAAGCTTACTCACTACTGGTGAGATATTTATAAGAATGCCATACTTTCTTTATAACTAATGTCATGGTCCATGTATTTTACAAAAGCTAAAAAGTTAAAAACACACACACACAACACCTTAATTTTAACAAAAAAGAAATCATTTTAAAAATTGCTGCACAGCCACTTAATTAAATATTATGTAGCCATTAGAAATATGGATATGCTAAATTCAGTGTGGTTCCCTGGATTAAATCTTAGAACACTCACAGCCAGTTGGCCTGGAGGTCAAGTAGTAATTACCTACAACAATCAAGGCTTAACTACAACAAGACTGCGCACAAAGCCCACAAGGGGGTGCACCAAGAGTGTCTACCTCAGGTAATTGGGACACTTAACACGGAAAGCCACTCTATCGACACAGTGAAGCATAAAAAAATGCCGAGACAAACAGGCCACAAAGAACAGAACTGGAGGAAAGCAGGCTACTGGATATAGAATTCAAAAGCACACTTTTGAGGTCTCTCAAGAGGCTTCTAGAGTCTGTCGATAAACTTGATGAGATGTACAGGAAATCTAATGAGACCCTCGATGGTGTGATAAAGGACCAACTAGAAAGTAAGCATACACTGACTGAAATAAAGAATATTATACAGACTCCCAACAGCAGACCAGAGGAGCGCAAGAATCAAGTCAAAGATTTGAAATGCGAAGAAGCAAAAAACACCCAACCGGAAAAGCAATATGAAAAAAGAATCCGAAAATACGAAGATAGTGTAAGGAGCCTCTGGGACAGCTACAAGCGTACCAACATCAGAATTATAGGGGTGCCAGAAGATGAGAGAGAGCAAGATATTGAAAACCTATTTGAAGAAATAATGACAGAAAACTTCCCCCACTTGGTGAAAGAAATAGACTTACAAGTCCAGGAAGTGCAGAGAAACCCAAACAAAAGGAATCCAAAGAGGACCACACCAAGACACATCATAATTAAAATGCCAAGAGCAAAAGACAAAGAGAGAATCTTAAAAGCAGCAAGAGAAAGAAACTCAGTTACCTACAAGGGAATACCCATACGACTGTCAGCTGATTTCTCAACAGAAACTTTGCAGGCCAGAAGGGAGTGGCAAGACATATTCAAAGTGATGAATACCAAGAACCTACAACCAAGAGTACTTTATCCAGCAAAGCTATCATTCAGAATTGAAGGTCAGATAAAGAGCTTCACAAATAAGGAAAAGCTAAAGGAGTTCATCACCACCAAACCAGTATTATATGAAATGCTGAAAGGTATCCTTTAAGAAGAGGAAGAAGAAGAAAAAGGTAAAGATACAAATTATGAACAACAAATACGCATCTATCAACAAGTGAATCTAAGAATCAAGTGAATAACTAATCTGATGAACAGAATGAACTGGTGATTATAATAGAATCAGGGACATAGAAAGGGAATGGACTGACTATTCTTGGGGGGGAAAGGGGTGTGGGAGATGTGGGAAGAGACTGGACAAAAATCATGCACCTATGGATGAGGACACTGGGTGGGGAGTGAGGGCGGAGGGTGGGGTGGGAACTGGGAGGAGGAGAGTTATGGGAG